TCCATCCCAGGTTGTAATACTACAGAGAAAAAGAGAGAGAGGAAAATTAGTATTAATCATAGCATATAGAAAAAAACTACATTAATATCGCTATAAAGAAAAAATAATTCATATCGACACCTATTTTTAAACTGATGCAATAATCATTAATATGTAAATAATTATATGCTACTAATAAAAAAAGCACTTATTCAATCATCATTTATTACTTATTTTTCATGAATTGAGATACAAATACCTTCATCACTATTCATCGATTAAATAAAACAACTGATTAAATGTATTATTGGTAATGGTGTCTACGATAACACATTAGCAATTCTTTAATTCATCAATGCAGTAGTGAACAATGTTAAAAATTTCATTTTATTGAATCTCTATTGGTACTGATAATTATTAAAGTAGGTAATTTATAAGATTTTTTTGTCACGAATATGATCCATAAAATATTTTAGTTCTACAATTTTTTTTATAATGTTAATATAGTTATATTATACATATATTAGTACTTTTTTCCATTTTACATATTAATATGTTTTATAATATATCTAAATTTTAATTTCCTTTTTAATAAAAGCATTAAAAAACTTTTTACTTTTATCTTGATTAACCTACAAAAATTAATCAACAAACATTAATATTTATTTTTATTAATTTACTTATAATTTTATTAATATAAATAATTTTATATTTGTTTTATGTTAAAAATATATTAATTTTATGTTAACATTTTTAATCTTTTATATTATTATAATATTTATATGTAATGTAAATTGAAAATTCACCTATATTGTAGATTTTTTTAAATATATATTTTTCCATAATTTTTTTCTGTTTAAATAAATTAATGTTAATAAATACAATAACTTTCATTATAAACAAAAAAAAATCATTCCCATGAATATTAAAATATCATTATTTATTAATATATCTTTATTATACTTTTCAAAATACATTTAATTTTTTTAGATAAACATACCAACATTTAATAACCATATTACATAATTTAACATAAATAAGTAGATAATTATATTAAATTACCTATTTTTAATTATAATATCAAATAATAAAAACAAAAAAATACTCATCCCTAATAAGTTTTCAACTCTAATGAATCAGCGCCATCTATAATATAAATTTAAATCTGCCATTATCTGTCGTTGATAACGTCTTTTTGTCTTGGTTTGCGAGGGAAAATTAGTGTTAGTGTCTTCATCCAGAAGTTTCTCAGTGTTTTGTATTAAATTTTCAATAATATTTCCTTAATTTCAATTCCTGGAATCCCGTTGTCTACATAGAGATAAGGTAGGATCATTTTTATACTATTATATTTTGTACAAATCATTTCGAAACCTACTGTTCGTAACAAGAAATAATACAGCCTTCTTTAATATTACAATATAGACATAATTACTAACATAATTACATCAATTTAATGCATATTACAACTCGCTATATACATATACAACTGGCTGTAATTGCCTTCCAGTATCATCAGTATAGTAAAAAATCAGCAACAATGAAGTTAATCTCAAAAAACAACTTGGAAAGCAATTACACTAGTGTATATTAATCGGCATAGCCCTCAACAAACTTATAAGTGTATACATCAATGTATACCAGTATAAATTGCTACACTGGATTTTATTACGAGCTGTGACTACCTTCCAATATCATCAATATGGTAAAAAATCAGTAATAATGAAATCAATCTCTAGAAATCTTGCAACTTAGAAGGCAATTATACTAGTAAACACTAATATAGCAATTTACATTAATATACATAGTGCATATAGTTACAAATTTGTTAAGAACTATGCTAATTGTTTTTTCTTCTTTTTTTTAATTTAATATTATATATACATTTATTACTATATTTTTACGTAAACCATAACATATATATATTACAAAAAAAAGATATTATAATAATAAATATGATATAATCCAATAAATAAAATTTAAAATATTTTCGAAATTATGGTGAAGGATCTTTATAAATTAATTTGACAATTTTTTTGCAATTATACAATATATAATGCATATATTTTTGCATAAAAACATTTGATATTTATTCTTTGTTATATTATTTAATATATATATATATATATATATATATATATATATATATATATATATATATATATATATATATATATATATATATATATATTTTTTTTTTTTTTTTAATTTTATATATAAATATTTATGCCATAATAATTATTTTATAGATATCTCATAAAAGTATTATAAATATTTTAAATAATAATATACTTAAATAAATAAAAAATATTTATTCATTACATAGCTATATGTATAGCTAAAAACATATATTAATTAAAATATTATCTTACATAAATCTATATATCAATTTAGTACATTCAATAAAAAAATTAAATTATAAAATACTACTGTATTTACATTTATCATTTTAATAACTATATTATATAGTTTTTTAATAATAATTATTGTTTAATAAGACAATAGTTATTTTCTTTATTTATTTAAAAAATATTTCTTTTATTGTAATCATATAATTAAATGTTTACAACTTAAATATAAATGTATTATTTTATTAATTATTATTAGAAAATTAAATATTCTTATCAAATTTTAACAATTAATAAATAAATCAAGTTTTTAATAAATTCAACGTTTGTGTTATTAATAAAATGTATATCATTATATTTTTATACTAACAATGAAACAACAGATTTCACCGCTATTATATCAAAATTTCAACATATTATTTTTTTTATTTATTTTTATATAGGTATATATACATTTATAACCATATTTTTATATAAACTATAACATATGTATACTACAAAAAAAGATATTATTACAACAAATATGATATAATCCAATAAAAAAACAACTTAAAATATTTTCAAAATTATGGTGAAAGATTTTCTAAATTAATTTGATAATTTTTTTACAATTATACAATATATATTCATTTTTGTATAAAAACGTTAAATAGTTATTTATTGTTATATTATTTGTTATAAAATATATTTTTTTTAATTTTATATATAAATATTTATACAGTAAATAATTTTTTTCTAGATATCTTATAAAAATATTAGATAATAATATACTTAAATAAATAAAAATATTTATTCATTACATAACTAAGAAATATATATTATTTAAAATATTATCTTACATAGATCTATACTTCAATTTAGTACATTCAACAAAAAAAAATTAAATTATAAAATATTACTGTATTTACATTTATCATATTAATTATTATATTATACATTTTTTATTAATAAAACAATAGTTACTTTGTTAATTTATTTAATAAATATATTTTTTTATTATAATCATATAATTAAATATTTATAACTTAAATATAAATATATTATTTTATTAATTATTATTATAAAATTAAATATTCTTATCAAATTTCAATAATTAATAAATAAATCAATTTTTTAATAAATTTAGCATTCGTTTCATTAATAAAATGTATAACATTATATTTTTATATTAACAATGAAACAACAAATTTCACTACTATTAGTGATTATATTAACATATTATTTTTTTTTTATTTTTATATATACATATATACATTTATTACCATATTTTTACGTAAATCATAACATATATATATATATATACTATAAAAAAAATATTATAACAATAAATATGATATAATCCAATAAAAAGAATTTAAAATATTTTTGAAATTATGGTGAAGGATATTTCTAAATTAATTTGACAATTTTTTTACAATTTTACAATATATAATGCATTCATTTTTACATAAAATCATTAAATATTTATTCTTTGTTATATTATTTGATATAAAATAATTTTTTCTCAATTTTATATATAAATATTTATGCTGTAATAATTTTTTTATAGACATTTCATAAAAGTATTACAAAAAATTTTAGATTATTTAAATAAATAAAAATATTTATTTATTACATAACTAAAAAACATATATTATTTAAAATAATATCTTACATAAATCTATATATCAATTTAGTACATTCAATAAAAAAATATATTTTATTAATTAATTAAATTTATTTTTTCAATTTATTTAAAAAATACTTTTTTTTTATTACAATCATATAATTAAGTGTTTATAACTTAAATATAAATGTATTAATTTAATAATTAATATTATAAAATTTAATATATTCTTTTCAAATCCTAATAATAAATAAACAACTTTTTTAATAAATTTAACATTTCTATTCTTAATAAAATATATATCATTACATTTTTATACTAACAATGAAAAAATAAATCACTGCTATTTATAGTGTTTATATCAAAATATTAACATAATATTTTTTTTATTTTTTACTTTCTTTTTTTTATTATAACTGATAAGTATATAAATAATTTTATAATTTACAAATGTTCCAAATAAAGATAAGTAATACATTTATAAATTTATATATTAATAACACTTATATATGTATTTATAATTAGCAAAATACAATATGATAAAAAACTCAACAATAACAATAAAAGGAATATTTTTAATAATTATTTCTAAATTCGACGCCATTTTTTTTCGATCACACGGTATATTATTTAATTTTTATTATTATATACTATTTTTATAGGTTCTTTATAAGTTTGTTTAAATTATTTTAAACAGAATAATTTTAAACTTCTTTAATTAGTCAATTAAAATTTTAAGTACTTTTTATGCTCCTTCACCAATATATTTTAAAACTTAATATATTACTTACATTACGTGTACTTTTCAATACAATTCCTTAAATATATATTTCTATATTTTTTAAAAAAAATTCCATGGGGCATAAACATTTCTATCAAACATAATACCCTTAAGTAATTTAAACAAATCTGTTTCCATTTTTTAAAGTAAACTTGAAACCATTAACATCTAAATTTTGTCTTACACCATATATTAATCTATAAAAATAATATTAATTATTATTCTATTTATTGAATTTATAATTATTTAATGAATATAAAAAATCAATAAATAATTTTTTTTCAGAATGACGAAAACAAAGGTTAACGGTAAAAATTCCTCCTTGAATAATAATTCACCATCTTCTTCCATAATTATTAGTAAAAGAATTACCCGTAGTTCAATTAAAAATAAAGAATTAAAAGTTCATCTTAATAGGCTTCAAATCAATATAAATCAAACTCAATCTTCTTCTAATATTTCTAAAGAACTACGGGTAATATTAGAACCTCTTAATTTTAATCTTCATCATTTAACTCCCTTGACCGTTAACCTTACACGTTTAGAGGACACACCCAATGTAAGTCAATTAACACCAATTAAGACTCGAAATTGGTCAAATAATTTGCGTCGCGTTAAAAATAAAAACAAAAATATTTTGGCAAGTTCACAACAAAATCCACCTCTTCAAAATTTGCGTATTAATATAAACAGATTACCGGATATTAATCAACAAACTCAACACGATCCCATCATTGAACAACAACCGCTTCAAAATTTGCGTATAATTTTAAATAGATTACCGGAAATACCACAACCGACAAACGTAACTAACGAACCACCGAGGAGGGCTCCGGTAATCACTCCTCAAAGATTAACGTGGCAACAACGTATGGCTCTTAACAACATAAATAGAAACGTAAGACCAACGCGATCATACCGTGATGGTATTACAGTTTCCGCGGCGGAGGTGGAAGAAATTTGTGCAAATCGGGTACATAACTTAGGCCCGATGGATATAACATGCCTCCATTGCGGTGCGATGTTCTTCCCAATAGAACGTCATGCCGTCAAAGGAGTAAGATCTTGGACATGTTGTAAGGGCGGTAAAATCGTGTTACCGCCTTTACGTCCGATACCTGCAGAATTGATTGAATTATTCACCGGAGAAGGAGAATGGTCCAATCAATTTAGGGATAAAATTCGGTTCATCAATGGTTTGCTAGCGATGGCCTCCTTTAAAACGTCCGTTCCGGGAGATGCTGAGAACCAAACTGGCCGTTGTTTTGCTATCAGCGGTCAGATTTTTCATTTTACCAATCCTCTACCAAATACTCAAGATTTAACCGCTCCTAGGTTAAATCAATTTTATTTTATTGACGTCGGTGAAGCTATCGCTAAGCGTGGGACATATATCGAAGGACAGGTCGACAGAACACTAGTCGATAAAATCGAACGTGTTCTTCGACGCGTTAATCGGTATATTAACGCCTACAAAACCATGGCCGAGGTTATTCGCGAAATACGAACGGAATCGCGAACATCAGGTAGAGGGGATATACTAAATGATGTTGTTTTGGCGTTTTGCGATAATATCAACGAAAAACGTCGAACACATCATTTACCAGAGAGTCGTTCCGATATTGCGGCTCTTTTTATCGGCGAAGACCCTCCGTTTGACGTCGAATTAAAAATATATCCTCGAGTGAGCAATATAACATCCGCCCAGCCACTCAGAACACCAAGACCTACCGATTCTGTTCAGACAGAACTTGACGAGGAAACTTTGGAGGAACTCTTTCAGTCGCAATCGCAAACAAGACCACCACCGGCTAATCAACAACACCACCAGTTGAAAAATTTAAATAAATTAGCTGATCCGATGGTATACCCGTTGTTGTTTCCTGAAGGCGACGACGGTTATACTCTCGAGCTAAAAATGTCTGACGGGGTAAGTCAAATTACATGTCGGCAATTTTATCGCTACAGAATGCAAATTCGCCGAGGATTTAGCGCCATCCATTCGGGACAAAAACTGTTCCAACAATATCTTGTGGACGCCTGGTGCAAAACCGAAGCGAATTATCTTTGGTATCTTAAACACCATCAAAAGAAATTCCATCTCACCTCAGAGAATTCGCTTCGGCAGCTGCGCAATTACCAACAGGCGCGAGACGGCGAACAACAAACCGTCCCGGAACGTATCGGCAGGCCCATCATTCTTCCAACTACTTTTCAAGGTGGGCCACGTAACATCCAACGCCGATTCCTTGATGCGATGGCGATAATAGCACGTCATGGAAAACCAGATCTTCTGGTGACCTTTACGTGCAATCCCGGGTGGCCTGAAATTGTCGACAACCTCGAAAGGCATCAGAGATGGGAACATCGTCCGGATTTGGTGTGTCGAGTTTTCGAAGGAAAACTGAAAGAGTTCCTTCAAGATTTCACAGACCGACAACTTTACGGACGCGTACTCAACTACCACCTCGTCGTTGAATTTCAGAAAAGAGGACTTCCACACTCCCATATCGTCTTTACGTTCGTTCAAGACGATAAGATACACCACGAACGCGATGTCGACGCTTTAATATCGGCATGCATTCCCGACGAGACCCAGCAACCCCTACTTTATAGCAGGGTTGGGTCTCATCAACTTCATTATAAGTGTGCTTCCGAGGGGGATAATGCACCTTGTATGCGAGACGGTATATGTCGCTTTGGCTATCCGCATTCCTTTTGTAGCGATACAGAATTTAATGCGGGTAACAATCAACGACCCAAATACCGTCGACCAAACAATGGCCGTATTATCCTACTTGCGAACGGGACTTTGCCGATAGACAACCGTCGCGTCGTCCCCTACAACTCTTACGCGCTCGCAAAATATAACTGCCATATAAATTTCGAAGTTGTATGGGCAGCGGCCACCATCAAATACTTGCATAAGTATTTCATGAAAGGATGGGATCGTGTATCTATCGACGTTAACGACGAAAATAGTCGCGTTGACGAAATGCATCGTTATGTTGGGTGTCGGTACGTTAGTTCGACAGAAGCGGCCTGGAAATTGTTAGAATTTGACATTTTCAAAAGGTCGTTCTTCTCCCCGTACATTTACCGGGCTACAGAGATATTCTGCATGACAACGATCAGGATAATTTAACTGCTGAAAAATTAAATGTTTTATTAAATAAAAAATCTAAATTAGAAGGTTTTTTCGAACTAAATAGAAACGATCCAGATGCTAGGCGACATTTTTACGTAGATATACCCGAATTTTATTGCTGGAATGTAAAAAACGCTAGATGGACCCGTCGTACAATAAAACAGCCCGTTATAGGAGCAGTATGTGACATACCACCGTCCGAATCACAACTGGAGAAATTTTATCTAAGAATACTGCTCCTTCATACTCCAGGACCTACATCATTCGATGATCTATTAATGATTAAAAACGGCGACAACGTGGAGATGTGCGCCACATTTAAGGCGTGCACAAAAAGGAATTTGTTAAGGATCGGTGACGAATATGATCGATGTATGCGCGAAGCGATCACCAAAAAGATGACATGTCGTCTTAGGAGATTATTCGCAACATTATGTTGTATCATATCCGATGACGATCTTGCACAAATTCCGACTCTCTGGCAAAATTACAAGAAGGCAATGATTGAGGACTATATCCGACGTGGAATGAGTGTCGAAGATGCGACTCGTAGGTGTATCATTTACATCAATAACATCTTAGATCGCTGCAGAACAAAGACCATGTCATTGGCTTCATTTGGAGTTCAAGATGCCATCGATCTTGGACTCAACAATAGAACGAACACCACCGATCCCATTGACCTTGATACTGCCATCGAAAATGAAGACTATAATAACGAGGAAGGGTTAAATCGTCCGATTGTACCTCTAAATCCTTATTATAGTATCGACAGTTTCAATCAAGATCAAGCCAAGGCGTTCGCGTTAATCATAAATACGATGGTCAAATTTAACGACAATATTCTTTTGCCTGCCGAATATTACGAGCAGTTAAATTTAAAAATAGCTTTCAATGAACTACAAAAACATTGCGATACTAATTTATTATATTTAGATGGTCCCCGCGGAACTGGGAAAACATTTTTATATAATGGTTTGTTACGCTTTGTCACGACCGAACTAAATTTGACTACCGTTGCAGTTGCGTGGACCGGCATCGCAGCCAATTTACTACCCGGAGGACGGACGGTTCATTTAGACTACCGTTGATTTTAACCGACCATACTGTGGCTGGATATCCCCTTGAAAGCCATCAGGGCAAGCGGTTAAAACGTGCCGCTCTAATTGTGTGGGATGAAACGCCCATGACTCCCAGGTTTGCGATAGAAGCTGTCGATAGATATCTCAAAGAACTGACCGGAAGACATGACTTGCCTATGGGGGGAAAATGCGTCATTTTTGGTGGAGACTCGTCAAATCCTTCCGGTTGTAAAATTGGGAGGAAAGATGGCAGTTATAGATGCGTCTCTAAAAAATTCACATCTATGGCCGAAAATGACACTCATCTCTCTAAAGACAAACGTGCGATCCGTTCAATCTAATGCCACGAACACCATTGGCAGTTCCACTAACACCAGGACAGAATTCGGTGGCAGTTATAGTGATTGGCTTTTGTGCCTCGGCGAGGGAAGGCTGCCTTACGCTACGGTCGTTACCGGTGCTACACCAACGGGTCTTCGAAAGAGACAAGTCATATCAACAGCGGCTGTTGCAGCTATTGCGACAACCATTGGTGTAGCCGTCGATAATTCGACTATGCCAGCTAATATGGCGGTCATTCCTCGTGATTTGGTACAAATTCCCCCTTCGCTATTGGTCAATTCGATCGAAGATCTGGTTGAATTTGTCTTTGACACTGGAATTTACGATGGCAAACGAGCTATTCTTTGTCCTACCAACGCAGCTGTAAATGACGTCAATAATTTTATTTTAGATCGTCTAGAAGACGAATGCACCACCTACGTTAGTATCGACGATTACGTAAATGACCCATCTGATTCTTTTTCTATAAACATGGACCTCATTAACTCTGTTGATGTCCCGGCTTTACCGCCACATAAGTTGCGGTTAAAAAAGGGAGCTGTGGTGATGTTACTTCGTAACATTGACATCGCGGCTGGTCTATGTAATGGAACTAGAATGATGATTGTTAATTTACAAGAAAATTTCCTAGAGTGTAAAATTCTATCTGGCTCTTCTATAGATAAAGTAGTGTGGATTCCAAAGATTCACATGAAAGCCAGAGATAATATTTTACCAAATGATATTGATCGGTTTCAATTCCCTGTTCGTCTTGCCTTTTGCATGACCATCAATAAATCCCAAGGCCAAACTTTCGATAAAGTCGGTATTTATCTTAGAGCGCCATGTTTCAGTCATGGCCAACTCTATGTGGCCTTTTCGCGAGTTGGTTCTCCTGACCAAATTCGCTGTTTGATTAACGAAACACCAGAACAGGGGTGTTTCGGTCGAATTTCGTCCCGCCGATACACTTCGAATATTATTTATTATGAAATATTTAGTAATCGAAGTGATCAAATTCCCATTGTCCGTGAAGTGATACCGACTATGGATACACCCCCTATCGCCCCTACGACTATTAAAAGAAAAACGCCAATTCCCCCCACACCATCTAATAGTCGTAGAAAAATTCCGGCATGCAAAAGGAATACTTCCCAAACCACCATCAATGTTCCTCGCACACCTTCACCATCTCGTCAAGCCACACGTCCCCGACAAGTCCCCTTAATGATTAGGTCCCCCATAAGTAATAAAAGTGGCGATGACGATAGTGACGACGACATTGATGATTCCTATGAGCCCAAATCGTCTATACCTCCACCATTCCATACCGATTACGAATTAAAACAGCGAGAATCTCGTGGCGAAATCGCTGGCACTTCTGGCCTATATTTATTAAAACTTCACCAACCTAATATCAGAATATTGCAAAATATTCTTCTTACAAGTCCGAAGATTTAATGTTCTTCATTAATTCCACCTAAATTTAGTCCCCATATTTCAACTGATAACGATCATTTCATTTAGTAAAATATTGTTTAGTCATGTTAACAATCTCTGAAGAAAGTAAATAATAACACTCTTCATAACGATATACCAAATTATTTGACCATTTTTTTAAAATGATGTATATAATTTAATATTTTCCTATATTTTTAATATTTTTTTTAATTATTTAATAATTTTAATCAAAAATAAATTTATTTTTTTATATATCTATGTTTATACTAAACATTTATAAATTTTAATAAACAAACTATAAAATTTATATATTACTATATTTTTAATTTTTTATATCAAATCAAATACACTAAATTATATAAATGTCATTTTTAAATTTGAATTATTCTTTTATGATCTAAATTTAATTTACAACTTTTAAAGCAAATCCATATTTTCTACATTTTTCCAAGAAGTTAATATTAAATTATATACATCATTTTCACCATTACCCGATTTGTGACATTTTTTTATTTATTAATATTAATATTACATTATAATAATTATAAAATAATTTATATAAATTTAAAAATAAAATCTTTTTCTTAAAAAATTCTTTATTATAAAATATTAAGATTCTTAATACAAATATTAATATAAAACTGTTTAATTATTTTCTAAATTTTGCTTTAGATTTAAACTTTAACATATCAGTCATAATAAAATCTTTATTATAAAAAAATTATTAAAATTTTATTTTTCAATCTTAAAGTAATTTTAAACTCTTTAATTTTAATATAACAAAAATTAATTTAAAAATTCATTGTAAAACATATATAAAAATATACCTATTTATCCTATATGATTAAGATATATTTATTATTATTTTAAATAATAATTTATCTTTTCATTTCACAGGCTATGACATACCACCGATTTGTGACTTCACCCGATTGTGACTACATTTTATAATCAACAAGTTTTTTTAAATTACACCTTTTTTTATATATATATGTACGTACTAATATTAATATTACTAAATAATTATTTATAAATTTAACATATAAAACTTTTTGATTATAAAATATATATTCCTGATAACGACCTACACATTTATCATTACACAAACTACACTTCTTATATATAAAAAAAACATAAAAAATCCAAAAAAAATATAAAAAAATTAAAAAATCCAAAAAAAATATAAAAAAATTAAAAAATCCAAAAAAAATTAAAAAAACATAAAAAACTACAAAAAAACACCTAACTCCGCCAACATTTTTTATAAATGTTGCCGGTCCCAAGCCCGGATAAAGGAGGAGGGTTGTGTTATTTTTAACATTTTACCTAACAGTATACTATTAATATTAAATTATATCTCTTTCCTATGTATACAAAATATACATTATTATATAATTACTTAATTTTAATTTTTTATATATAAAAAAATTACAATATTATAACTTTTATAATTTGTGAAATTTATACAAACTTTAATATCAAAAAATAGTTATTAAGCTTTTATATTGTTTTATTTTAAATTTATTAATAATAAATTTGATTTTTTTTTAATTTGGACTTTTTATTACATTTCCTTTTAACATATAATATATAATAAATGTAATCATTATAATTATTCTATTAAAATAAAATATTCCACAAATTTTACATCATTGTTTTTTCTTACCACCTATAAAATATAAATTAATTCCATATATTTACTTTTATTAATTAACTTACAAAAAAGTATCCTTATATTCGAAATAAATCCATTTTTACATAGTTAAAAATATAACTGTTTCATAGTATCACTTTATTATTTCATATTTATTATAATCCAATTATTATATTATGCTCCATTCTAATACATTTATAAATATAATATTTTCTCATATCTCCATTACTATATATTTGCTTCTCTTGCTATAAAAATTTATTTATTAATATTGAATATTAAGTTTTTTTAAATACATACTTATTTTAAAATTTCTATATCTTCTTGATTCTTCTATATCTCCTTGATCTACATATAATTATAGTAATTGCTATCCTTTTTTTCCTTTAAAAGTCATTTTAATGTTAAGCCATTTTTTTTCAATTATTATAGTATACTACAATCATTATGTATCCATATAATATTAAAATATGATTTAATTTTTATTCAATATTTTCCTCCCCTTATTACTTCTTCCCTAAAAAAATAATAAAATTATTACATTTATTATATTATGTACAGAATTAATAAATACCTAAATTTATCACTAAAATTTATTCAATAAACACGGTAAGTATTTACATATTTTTTCTATTAAATAACATTAATTTCTTCTTTTAATCCAAAATTCATTTTAAAACGTCCATTTTCCATATATTTTAATAAAAATAATTTCCAATTTCTCTTCCGATATAAATGTTCTTCTATTGTCATATTTTAACTATAAACATATAAAAATAAATATTAAATAATTGTTTTATATAATTACTTACAAATTTACAATGTTTTTACAGTTTTCTCTATATCAAGCATCCAATATTATTAATTTATTTAAAAGTAAACAAATTGATTGAAAACCTGCTAATAACATACATAATTCTTCTTCCATGTTATAACTAATTATATCTATATCCGTAAAAATCCATCGTCTTCTCAATTTAAATTAATCGATCCCGTTAAATAAACAACTAATCCACCTTTCAGCTATCCATCCATGCATAACTAAAAATATATAATTATTATAATAATATTGGAAAATACTGTTAAACATTCTTCTTACATTAACAATTATCTTCTTTTACCATAATACATTTAGTATCGATAATATTTTTGCTTCATTTTAGAAACTATTGTACCTACATTATTTTGTAATGTTTTGACTGAATATTACTTTAATAGAACTATAAATTTTAAAATTTTACATCAGTTGAACATCTATATATCGTTTATTACCTATTAATAAAATCCGACATCACAAACTATCATAACTTTATTTTTGTCTCGATTAAGTCTTCATCAAAATATTTTTCTTCTACTTCGACTAAATCTTCATTGATTTGTTTCCTAAAAATATTCTCAGTTAAGTTCTAAAACTTCTTGTAACACACATAAACTATTTTAATTACTCTTTTTTATCAAGTAGCTCCTCTTTATTCATACAAAGTAACATCTCAATACCATACATCATATATATTTGAACAGCTAATGACAACACTTTTATGTGATATTTTAACTGAATATATCTATAATAGAACTATAAATTTTCTAATTCTATATCAGCTGAACATCTACATATCGTTTATTATTAAAAAAACTTAACTATTATAGGCAAAACTTTCTTGATTTTTAATCCTTTGAATTATGTCAATCCATTTCCATTTATTCCGCATTTATCTAAAACAAAAATTATTTATCATACATATATATTTAATACCTTTTTAAATACATTGTATAATATTAAATAACAACAAATAAAATAATTAATGTTTATTTTATGAAAAATAAATATAACCTAAAATTAAATAAAATTTGACATTATTGATAATATCCATAGATTTATAATGTAATAACATTTAAAATAGAGATGAGGCATATATATCGATCATTTTCAATATTTTCTTTTTAAACAAATATTTCTTGCATTTTAACTATAAACATGTATAAATAGAGAGAAAATATATTAAATATTTCTGTAAGTTTGAAATCGGAAATTTATTTTTTTCATATATTTTATAATGTAATTTTTATTTTTAGACATAATCTATTTGGAAAATATAAAAGATATGTCAGAAAATATACTTACGTATATGTTCATGTTGTAAAAAAGAAAACAAACAGCTGATTTACCAACCAGATATAACTGATATCTTGCCACTATTATGAATAAAACCAAGAGAATTAGAATTAATCATTATTACAATAAAATATCAAATTGTTTTATCATAAACAGATATATTCATTAAAAGATATAGAAGAAAATATAACTACATTAATATTATTATAAAGCAAAAATAATTTATAACACCTGCTTTTTGATTTAGTGCAATAATTATTGTGACATAATTACATGTGTTATAGAAAAAAAAATTATAATAATTTTTTTCAATATATATTTTTCAATATTTTTTTTTCTATAAATAAATTAATATTAATACCCTTTTATTATAAATTAAAAAAAAAATATATCTGTGAATATTAAAATATCGTTATTTATTAATATATTTTTATTATATTTTTAAAAACATTTAATAACCATACATAATTTACATAATTATATATATAATTTAATATAAATGAGTATCTAATTATATTAAATTAACTATTTTTAATTATATCAAATAATAAAAACAAAAAAATACTCATCTCTAATGTGTCTTCAACTCTAATTAATCAGTGCCATCTATACCATAAATTTGAATCTACCCTTATCTGTCATTAATAGCGTCTCTTCGTCTTGATTTGCGAGGGAAAATTAGTGTTAATGTCCTCTTCTAGAAGTTTCTCAATGTTTTATGTTAAATTTTCAATAATATTTCCTTAATTTCGATTCTTGGAATCCTGCAGTCTACATAGAGATAAGGTAGAATTATTTTATATTATTATATTTTGTACAAAACAGTTCGAAACGAACTGTTTGTAACAAGAAATAATACGACCTTCTTTAATATCATAATATCACATAATTACTTAAAAAATATAAATTTAATGTATGTTACAATTCACTATACACATATACAACTCACTGTAACTGCCTTCCAGTATCATCAATATAGTAAAAAATCAGTATCGATAAAATTAATCTCAAGAAACAACTTGGAAGTTTGGAAGGCAATTACACTAGTGTACACTAATCGGCATAGCCTTCAACAAACATATAACCGTATACATCAATGTTTACTAGTATAAATTGCTACACTAGACTTTATTACAAGCTGTATAACTGTCATCCAGTATCATCAGTATGATAAAAAATCAGTAACAATGAAATCAATCTCAAAAAATTACTTGGAAAACAATTATACTAATGAACACTAATGTAGAAATTTACATTAATATACATAGTGTATACAGATACAACTTTATTGAGGATTGTGCCAATTATTTTTTCCTTTTTTTTAATATAATATTATATATACATTTATTGCTATACTTTTATGTAAATCATAACATATGTATTATACCCAAAAAAATGAATATACAAAATAAATATATATTTTTTTTTTCAGAATGGCGAAAAAATAGGTTAACTGCAAAAATCCCCTCCAGATTTCCACCCCAAATTCAACTACATCTTCTAGAAATTCTCCTCCAGTAACAATTAATAAACGCATTACTCGTAGTTCCACTAAAAATAATAGAGAGTTAAAAATTATTCTTAATAGGCTTCCTGACATCCAACCTCAACCTTCATCTTCTAATATTCCTAAAGAATTACGAGTAATATTAGAACCCCTTAATTTAAATAACTTTCCTCATTTAACTCCATCTTTGCGTGTTAACCTAACAAGATTGGACAATAATGTAAACGTAAGTACACCATCTAAATCTACGGCTATACCTGTTGAGAAAAATACACTAAAATCCTTTTCTATTTGTATCGATATGTACATTCCTATTACCACATTACTACTGACAATTGACATAAAATAGTGAGATATGCTTCAAGTAATGCATAAGATAAATAGTTGTTAAACCACTGCGTTTTTCTTAAAAGGTTATGGGCCCAGAGCACCCAAAGGACACAGAGCATCCAGAGCAATAAAAAGGAATTGATGAAAATAAGTAAAATCCCAGGAATTTGCGAGTTTTTCAAAAGTAAGGTTAGTCAAAAAGATCCAAGGTTTAATATAAATTAAAAAGTACAAATTCTAGATTTTACTCTAGAGATAACCAGAGACAGTATACAAATTATCAAGGCTATGATAGAGGTAATTTTCATAGAGGTGCACTTCATCATTCCAATTATGCTCGAAACCATGAAGATGTAAACAATGTACCAGAAGTGGACAGAAAAGTTTGTTTTCTAGGTGAATCTAAATCTAACACCCTATTGGTGAAAATAAATAGAATCCCAGGTATTTGAAAATTTTTCAAAAGTAAGGTTAGTCAAAAAGATCCAAGGTGTAATATAAATCAAAGTACAAATTCTAGGTTTTACTCTAGAGGTAACCAGAGACAGTATACAAGTTATCAAGACCATGATAGGGATGGTTTTCATAGAGGTGCACTTCAACATTCCAATTATGCTCGAAACCATGAAGATGTGAACAGTGTACCAGAAGTGGACAGAAAAGTTTGTTTCCTAGGTGAATTTAAATCTAACACCTCATTAGTGAAAATAAATAGAATCCCAGGAATTTGTAAGTTTTTCAAAAGTAAGGTGAGTCAAAAAGATCCAAGGTCTAATATAAATCAAAGTACAAATTCTAGGTTTTACTCTAGAGGTAACCAGAGACAATATACAAGTTATCAAGGCCATGATAGAAGTGGTTTTCATAGAAGTGCACTTCATCATTCCATTTATGCTCGAAACCATGAAGATATAAACAGTGTATCAGAAGTAGACAGAAAAGTTTGTTTTCTAGGTGAATCTAAATCTGACTGTGAGGTATCAAAAGAAAGTAATTTAAAATCTTATATTGATTCTGGTTGTACCGATCATATGGTTAATGAAAAATCTTATTTCACTGATATAATAACGTTAACAAAATCTATAAAAATTGCTGTTGCTAAAAATGAAGATTTTCTATTGGCCATAGGTATTGGTAATATAAATATTATAAGTTATGTAGATAAACGGAAATATAATTGCACAATCAATAATATTTTATATGTACCAAAATTACGAAAAAATCTATTAAGTGTCAAAAAAGAAAAAATTATTATTTCAAGAGATGTAAAATTTAATGAAAATTAATTTGCTTTTAAAGATAAAAGTGTAGATGGGACAAATAATGAAAATGGACAAATAATTTGCGTCGCGTTAGAAATTCAAATAAACGTAATATAAATACTCCACCATCACAAAATATGACTGCTTTTGGAGAACATAACTATCCAGAACAACTAAGTCAAAATTTGCGTGTAATTTTAAATAGATTGCCAGTTAATAATAAATTACAACACGATCCCATCATTGAACAACAACCGCTTCAAAGTTTGCGTATAATTTTAAATAGATTACCGGAAAAAACACAATCGACAAACGTAACTAACGAACCACCGAGAAGGGCTCCGGTAATCACTCCTCAAAGATTAACGTGGCAACAACGGATGACTCTAAACAACATAAATAGAAATGTAAAACCAACACGAACATACCGTAATGGTATTACAGTTTCCGCGGCGAAGATGGAAGAAATTTGTGCAAATCAGCTACATAACTTAGGCCCGATGGATATAACATGTCTCCATTGCGGTGCGATGTTCTTCCCAATAGAACGTCATGCCGTCAAACAAGTAAGATCTTGGGCATGTTGTCAAGGCAGTAAAATCGTGTTACCACTTTTACGTCCGATACCTGCAGAATTGATTGAATTATTCACCGGAGAAGGAGAATGGTCCAATCAATTTAGGGATAAAATTCGGTTCATCAATGGTTTGCTAGCGATGACCTCCTTTAAAACGTCCGTTCTGGAAAATGCTGACAACCGAACTGGCCGTTGTTTTGCTATCAGCGGTCAAATTTTTCATTACACTAATCCTTTACCTAACACTCAAGATTTAACCGCTTCTAGATTTCTTTATAAGTTTATTTAAATTATTTCAAACAGAATAATTTCAAATTTCTTTAATTAGTCAATTAAAATTTTAAGTACTTTTTATGCTCCTTCACCAATATATTTTAAAACTTAATATATTACTTACATTACATATACTTTTCAATACAATTCCTTAAATATATATTTCTATATTTTCTAAAAAAAATTCCAGGGACATAAACATTTCTATCAAACATATTACCCTTAAATAATTTAAACAAATCTGTTTCCATTTTTTTTAATAAACTTGAAACCATTAACATCTAAATTTCGTCTGACACCATATATTAATCTATAAAAATAATATCAATTATTATTCTATTTATTGAATTTATAATTATTTAATGAATATACAAAATCAATAAATAATTTTTTTTCAGAATGACGAAAACAAAGGTTAACGACAAAAATTCCTCCTTGAATAATAATTCGCCATCTACATCTTCTTCTATAATTATTAATAAAAGAATTACTCGTAGTTCAATTAAAAATAACAAAGAATTAAAAGTTCATCTAAATAGGCTTCCAATCAATCTCAATCAAACTCAATTTCAATCTCAATCTTCTTCTAATATTTCTAAAGAACTACGAGTAATATTAGAACCTATTAATTTTAATCTTCTTTATTTAACTCCTTTGCACGTTAACTTTACACGTTTAGAGGATACACCCAATGTAAGTCAATTAACATCAGTTAGAACTTGAAATTGGTCAAATAATTTGCGTCGCGTTAAATATAGAACTAAAAATATTTCATTTAGTCAACAACAATCACAACAAAATCCACTTCTTCAAAATTTGCGTGTAATTTTAAATAGGTTGCCGGATATTAATCAACAAACCCAACATGAACCCATCATTGAACAACAACCGCTTCAAAATTTGCGTATAATTTTAAATAGATTACCGAAAATAACACCGAGAAGGACTGCAGCCATTGTTAAGCGTAGGACATATATCGAAGGACAGATCGACAGAACACTAATCGATAAAATCGAACGTGTTCTTCGACGCGTTAATCGGTATATTAACGCCTACAAAACCATGACCGAAGTTATTCGCAAAATACGAACGAAATCGCGAACATCAGTTAGAGGGGATATACTAAATGATGTTGTTTTGGCGTTTTGCGATAATATCAACGAAAAACGCCGAACACATCATTTACCAAAGAGTCGTTCCGATATTGCGGCTCTTTTTATCGGCGAAGACCCTCCATTTGACGTCGAATTAAAAATATATCCCCGAATAAGCAATATAACATCCGCCCAGCCACTCAGAACACCAATATCTATCAATTTCGTTCAGACAGAACTTGACGAAGAAACTTTAGAGGAACTCTTTCAGTCGCAATCGCAAACAAGACCACCACGAACCATTCAACACCACCACCAGTTAAAAAATTTAAATAAAATAGCAGATCCGATTTTCGAAAGAAAACTAAAAGAGTTCCTTCGAGGTTTCACAGACCATCAACTTTACGGACGCGTACTAAACTACCACCTCATCGTTGAATTTCAAAAAAGGGGACTTTCACACTCCCATATCGTCTTTACATTCGTTCAAGACGATAAAATACACCACGAACGCGTTGTTGACGCTTTAATATCGGCATGCATCAACTTCATTATAAGTCTCAATCAACGGTCCAAATACCATCGACCAAACAATAGCCGTATTGTCTTACTTGCGAACGAAACATTGCCGATAGACAACCGTCACGTCGTCCCCTACAACTCTTACGCGCTCGCAAAATATAACTGCCATATAAATTTCGAAGTTGTAGGAGCTGCGGCCATCATCAAATACTTGCATAAGCATTTGATGAAAGGATGGGATCGTGTATATATTGATGTTAACGACAAAAATAATCGCGTTAACGAAATTCATCGTTATATTGAGTGTCGGTACGTTAGTTCAACAAAAGCAGCCTGAAAATTGTTAGAATTTGGCATTTTCAAAAGATCGCACTCTGTCATTCTTCTCCCCGTACATTTACCAGGATACAGAGATATTCTGCATGACAACGATCAGGATAATTTAACTGTTGAAGAATTAAATGTTTTATTAAATAAAAAATCAAAATTAGGAAGTTTTTTCGAACTAAATAGAAACGATCCAGATGCTAAACGACATTTTTACGTAGATATACCCGAATTTTATTGCTGGAATGTAAAAAACGCTAGATGGACCCGTCATGTAGCAAAACAAACCGTTATAGGAGCAATATTTGACATACCACCATCTGAATCACAACTGGAGAAATTTTATCTAAGAATACTGCTCCTTCATACTCCAAGCCCTACATCATTCAATAATCTGTTAATGATTAAAAACGGTGACGACATGGAGATGTGCACCACATTTAAAGAGGCGTGCACAAAAAGGAATTTGTTAAGCATCGGTGACGAATATGATCGATGTATGCGCGAAGCGATCACCAAAAAGATACCATGTCGTCTTAAGAGATTATTCGCAACATTATGTTGTATCATAACCGATGATGATCTTGCGCAAATTCCGACTCTCTGGCAAAATTACAAGAAGGCAATGATTAAGAACTATATCCGACGTAGAATGAGTGTCGAAGATGCGACTCGTAAGTGCATCATTTACATTAATATTATCTTAAATCACTGCAGAACAAAGACCATGTCATTGGCTTCATTTAGAATTCAAGATGCCATCGATCTTGGACTCAACAATAGAACGAACACCGCCGATCCCATTGACCTTGATACTGCCATCGAAAATGAAGACTATAATAACGAGGAAGAGTTACATCGTCCGATTTTACCTTTAAATCCTTATTATAGTATCAACAGCTTCAATCAAGATCAAGCAAAGGCGTTAGCGTTAATTGTAAATACCATGATCAAATTTAACGACAATATTCTTCTGCCTGCCGAATATTACGAGCAGTTAAATTTAAAAATACCTTTCAATGATCTACAAAAACATTGCGATACTAATTTATTATATTTAGATGATCCCGGTAGAACTGGGAAAACATTTTTATACAATGGTTTGTTACGCTTTGTCGCGACCGAATTAAATTTGACTACCGTTGCAGTTGTGTGGACCGGCATCGCAGCCAATTTACTACCCGGAGAACAGACGGTTCATAACACCTTTAGACTACCGTTGATTTTAACCGACCATACTGTGGCTGGATATCCCCTTGAAAGCCATCAGGGCAAGCGGTTACAACGTGCCACTCTAATTGTGTGGGATGAAACGCCCATGACTCCCAGGTTTGCGATAGAAGCTGTCGATAGATATCTCAAAGAACTGACCGAAAGACATGACTTGCGTATGAGGGGAAAATGCGTCATTTTTGGTGGAGACTTTCGTCAAATCGTGATTTGGTACAAATTCTCCCTTCGTTATTGGTCAATTCGATCGAACATCTGGTTGAATTTGTCTTTGACACTGAAATTTACGATGGCAAACGAGCTATTCTTCGTCCTACCAACGCAGTTGTAAATGACATTAATAATTTTATTTTAGATCGTCTAGAAGACGAATGCACCACCTACGTTAGTATCGACGATTACGTAAATGACCCATCTGATTCTTTTTCTATAAACATGGACCTCATTAACTCTGTTGATGTCCCAGCTTTACCGCCACATAAGTTGCGATTAAAAAAGGAAGTTGTGGTGATGTTACTTCGTAACATTGATATCGCGACTGGTCTATGTAATAGAACTAGAATAATGATTGTTAATTTACAAGAAAATTTCCTAGAGTGCAATATTTTATCTGGCTCTTCTATAGATAAAATAGTGTAGATTCCAAAGATTCACATGAAAACCAGAGATAATATTTTACCAAATGATATTGATCGATTTCAATTCCCTGTTCGTCTCGCCTTTTGCATGACCATCAAAAAAATCCCAAGACCAAACTTTCCATAAAATCGGTATATATCTTAGCACGCCATGTTTTAGTCATAGCCAACTCTATGTAGCCTTTTCGTTTCGCCGATACACTTCGAATATTATTTATTATGAAATATTTAATAATCGAAGTGATCAAATTCCCATTGTCCGTGAAGTGATACCGACTATAGATACACCTTCTATCGCCCTTACGACTATTAAAAGAAAAACGTCAATTCCCCCCACACCATCTAATAGTCGTAGAAAAATTACGGAATGCAAAAGGAATCATTCCCAAACCACCATCAATGTTCCTGGCATACCTTCACCATCTCGTCAAGCCACACGTCCCCTTAATAATTAGGTCCCCCATTAATAACAAAAGTGGCAATGACGATAGTGATGACAACATTGATGATTCCTATGAGTCCAAATCGTCTATACCTCCACCATTCCATACTGATTACGAATTAAAACAGCGAGAATCTCGTGGCGAAATCGCTGGCACTTCTGACCTATTTTTATTAAAACTTCACCAATCTAATATCAGAATATTACAAAATATTCTTCTTACAAGTCCGAAAATTTAATGCTCTTCATTAATTCTACCTAAATATAATCCCCATATTTCAACTGATAACGATCATTTCATTTAATAAAATATTTTTTAGTCGTATTAATAATCTCTGAAAAAAGTAAATAATAACACTCTTCCTAACGATATACCAAATTATTTGACCATTTTTTTTTAAATGATGTATATAATTTAATATTTTCCTATATTTTTAATATTTTTTTTTAAATTATTATTTAATAATTTTAATAAAAAATAAATTTATTTTTTTATATATCTATATTTTTTTATTAAATAAATTATATAAATTTAAATAAAAAATCTTTTTCTTAACAAATTCTTTATTTTGAAATATTAAAATGATTTTAATATAAATATTAATATAAAACTATCTAATTATATTGTTTTCTAAATTTTGCTTTATATTAACATATCAATCATAATAAAATCTTTATTATAAAAAAATTATTAAAATTTTATTTTTCAATCTTAAGTAATTTTAAACTTTTTAATTTTAATATTAACAAAAATTAATTTAAAAATTCATTGTAAAACACATATAAAAATATACCTATTTATCCTATATAATTATGATATATTTATTATTATTTTAAATAATAATTAATCTTTTCATTTCACAAGCTATAAAATACCACCGATTTGTAACTTCACCCGATTGTGACTACATTTTATAATCAACAAGTTTTTTTAAATCACACCTTTTTTTATATATATGTACATACTAATATTAATATTACTAAATAATTATTTATAAATTTAACATATAAAACTTTTTAATTGTAAAATATATATTCCTGTTAACGACCTACACATTTATCATTACAGAAACTACACTTCTTGTATATAAAAAAACCCAAAAAATATAAAAAATTAAAAAATCCAAAAAAAAATTAAAAAAAACAAAAAACTACAAAAAAACATCTAATTCCATCAACATTTTTTATAAATGTTGCCGGTTCCAAACCCAAATAAAGGAGGATTGTGTTATTTTTAACATTTTACCTAACAGTATATTATTAATATTCAATTATATCTCTTTTCTATGTATACAAAATATACATTATTATATAATTACTTAATTTTAATTTTTTATATATAAAAAAAATTACAACAATATTATAACTTTTATAATTTGTAAAATTTATACAAACTTTAATATCAAAAAATAGTTATTAAATTTTTATATTGTTTTATTTTAAATTTATTAATAATAAATTTGATTTTTTTTTAATTTGGACTTTTTATTACATTTCCTTTTAACATATAATATATAATAAATAATGTAGTCATTATAATTATTCTATTAAAATTAAATATTCCACAAATTTTAGAACATTGTTTTTTCTTACCACCTATAAAATATAAATTAATTCCATATATTTACTTTTATTAATTAACTTACAAAAAAGTATCGTATATATACAATATAAGTATTCGCTTATATTCGAAATAAATCCATTTTTACATAATTAAAAATATAACTGTTTCATAGTATCACTTTATCATTTCATATTTATTATAATCCAATTACTATATTATGATCCATTCTAATACATTTATAAATATAATATTTCCTCATCTCTCTATTACTATATATTTGATTCTCTTGCTATAAAAATGTATTTATTAATATTGAATATTTATTTTTTTTAAATACACACTTATTTTAAAATTTCTATATCTTCTTGATTCTTCTATATCTCCTTGATCTACATATAATTATAGTAATTGCTATCCTTTTTTTCCTTTAAAAGTCATTTTAATGTTGAGTCATTTTTTTTTCAACTATTATAGTATACTACAATCATTATGTATCCATATAATATTAAAATATGACTTAATTTCTACTCAATATTTTCCTCCCCTTATTACTACTTCCCTAAAAAAATAATAAAATTATTACATTTATTATATTATGTACAAAATTAATAAATACCTAAATTTATCACTAAAATGTATTCAATAAACACGGTAAATATTTACATATTTTTTCTATTAAATAACATTAATTTCTTCTTTTAATCCAAAATTCATTATAAAACATCCATTTTCCATATTTTTTAATAAAAGTAATTTCCAATTTCTCTTCCGATATAAATGTTCTTGTATTGTCATATTTTAACTATAAACATATAAAAATAAATATTAAATAATTATTTTATATAATTACTTACAAAATTACAATGTATTTACAGTTTCCTCTATATCAAGCATCCAATATCATTAATTTATTTAAAAGTAAACAAATTGATTGAAAATTTGCTAATAACATACATAATTCTTCTTCCATATTATAACTGATTATATCTATATCCGTAAAAATTCATCCCCTTCTATATTTAAATTAATCGATCACGTTAAATAAACAACTAATCCACCTTTCAGCTTTCCATCCATGCATAACTAAAAATATATATTTATTATAATAATATTGGAAAATACTGTTAAACATTCTTCTTACATTAATAATTATCTTCTTTTACCATAATATATTTAATTTCCATAATATTTTTGCTTCATTTTAGAAACTACTGTACCTACATTATTTTGTAATGTTTTGAGTGAATATTACTTTAATAAAACTATAAATTTTAAAATTCTACATCAGTTGAACATCTATATATCATTTATTACCTATTAATAAAATGTGACATCACAAACTATCAACTTTATTTTTGTCTCGATTAAATCTTCATTACAATATTTTTCTTCTACTTCGACTAAATCTTCATTGATTTTTTTCCTAAAAATATTCTCAGTTAAGTTCTAAAACTTCTTTTAACACACAAACTATTTTAATTACTCTTTTTTATTAAGTTCCTCTTCTTTATTAATACAAAGTAACATCTCAATACCATACATCATATATATTTAAACAGTTAATGACAACACTTTTTTGTGATATTTTAACTAAATATATCTATAATAGAACTATAAATTTTGTAATTCTATATCAGCTGAACATCTACATATCGTTTATTATTAACAAAACTTAACTATTATCAGCAAAACTTTCTTGATTTTTAATCCTTTGAATTATGTCAATCCATTTCCATTTATTCCGTATTTATCTAAAACAAAAATTATTTATATTACATATATATTTAATACCTTTTTAAATACATTGTATAATATTAAATAACAACAAATAAAATAATTAATGTTTATTTTATGAAAAATAAATATAACCTAAAATTAAATAAAATTTGACATTTTTGATAATAACCATAGATTTATAATGTAATGACATTTAAAATAGAGATGAGGCATATATATCGATCATTTTCAATATTCTCTTTTTAAACAAATGTTTCTTGCATTTTAGCTATAAATAATTATTAAATAATTGTTTTATATAATTACTTACAAAATTAAAATATTTTTATAGTTTTCTGTATTTATTATCAAACATCCAATGTCATCTGTTTAAAACATATCTTTAAATATTTTAAACAAATATAGAAAGAAGATTTACTAATATTATATATAATTCCTTCCATGTTATAACTGATAATATTCAATAAATTCATCGGCATCGCAATTAAAATGAATTGATCAAATTAGACAAGTAACAGATATGCCCTTCAGCTATTCTTCCATGAACAACTAGAAATATATATATTTATCACAATAATATAAAAACATAATATTAAACATTCTACTTACATTAACAATTATCTTCTTTTACCTTAATATATCTATTTTTGATAAAATTTTTACTTCATTTTGAAAATTATCTAAATCTAATTTTTTTCATATTTTGACCATATACCTATTTTTGATAAAATTAGAAATACAGCTTTATATTGTTCATTATTAATAAAATCTGAATATTACTATCACACCCTTTTTTTGTCTCAATTAGATCTTCACCACAATGTTTTTCTTCTGTCTCGACTAGATTCTTCTCGACTAAAAAATTCAATAATTTTTTCCTTAAAATATTCTATAAATACTAATTTCTAAAATTTCTTTTAACAAATACAAATACTTTTAATTACTTTTTATCAAATGCCTCCTCTTTAGCCATAAAAAGTAATACTTCAATATGATACAATGTAGACATTAATTTTATTCGAACGGTTAATAACAAAATTTCTTCAAGGTATTTTAACTATATATATCTATAATACAATCATATATTTTGAAATTCTATATCAACTAAACATCTCTGTATCGTTTATTATTAATGAAATCTAAATATTACCGTCAAAACTTTCTAATTTTTAGTATTTTTTCAATCCATTTCCAGTTGTTCCACATACATCTAAAACAAATATTACTTATATATAATATCTATTCAAATACCATTATATAATATTATACATACTATTAAATAATAACAAATAAAATAATATTTATTTTATAAAAAATAATTATAACCAAATATCAAATCAAAATTGACATTTTTCATAATAACCATAGATATAAGATGCAGTGACATTTAAAATAGAGATGATTCATATATATCGATCATAATATCAAAGTAAATTTATTTTTATTATAATTTTAATATAGATGTATTTTTTTAAATTTTAAACTATTTAATATTCTATTTCACTAATATTTTTTTTCTTTTAGACTTAATTTCTTTCAAATTGCATTTGCTTTTAATTTATTTTTACTATCTAATTTTATTTTCATTCATTTCAAACCTTTTTTCTGCTTTCAAACCAATTTTAAAAACCAAAGAACACTTCTCATACATTGCCCATTGTTCTAATAAATTACCTCACATTTTTTTTTTATTTTAAACTTTATTTCATTTAAATTACAATTGCTTTTAATTTATTTTTATTATCTTATTCTAATTTCTTTCCTATCAAATGTTTTATTTTTTTTTTAAATAAATCATAATCTATAAATCAAGGATTGTGGAGAGGAGAAGGGAGAAAAGAGAATCCCCCCTCCCCCCCCCTTCCGATATTATTGCATTAAATGTGTTATAATATATAGAATTTGTTTTATAAACTTTAAAAAGAACACAAATTCTAAAAATTTTCAAAAAAAAATCAACTCCAAACATCGGATACCTTTCACGCACCCAAGTCATTTGACTTGGACACCGAACTAGTTCTAACCATAAACGATGCCAGCTAGCGATCCGTCGACGTTCCTCCGATGACTCGACGGGCAGCTTCCGGGAAACCAAAGCTTTTGGGTTCCGGGGGAAGTATGGTTGCAAAGCTGAAACTTAAAGGAATTGACGGAAGGGCACCACCAGGAGTGGAGCCTGCGGCTTAATTTGGCTCAACACGGGAAACCTCACCAGGCCCGGACACCGGAAGGATTGACAGAATGAGAGCTCTTTCTTGATTCGGTGGGTGGTGGTGCACGGCCGTTCTTAGTTGGTGTAGCGATTTGTCTGGTTAATTCCGAAAACGAACGAGACTCTAGCCTGCTAACTAGGCGCTAATTTTGACATCGCAAAGGCCCGCCGGCCGTCGTTTAGGGAGCCCCGTGCGTTCACGCGTATCGGGTCTTTCCGTTTGCGGCGCGTCGCGCGCGGTTTTACTGTCGGCGTACAAACATATCTTCTTAGAGGGACAGGCGGCTTCTAGCCGCACGAGATTGAGCAATAACAGGTCTGTGATGCCCTTAGATGTTCTGGGCCGCCCGCGCGCTACACTGAAGGAATCAGCGTGTCCTCCCTGGCCGAGCGGCCCGGGTAACCCGCTGAACCTCCTTCGTGCTAGGGATTGGGGCTTGCAATTGATCCCCATGAACGAGGAATTCCCAGTAAGCGCTAGTCATAAGCTCGCGTTGATTAACTCCCCTCCCCTTTGTACACACCGCCCGTCGCTACTTCCGATTGAATGATTTAGTGAGGTCTTCGGGTCGGCACGCGATGGCGTTTCTGCGTCGTCGATGTGTGTGAGAAGATGACCAAACTTGATCATTTAGAGGAAGTAAAAGTCTTAACAAGGTTTCCGTAGGTGAACCTGCGGAAGGATCATTACAGTGTACGTTAAAAACGAACACGTTTGTTCTTTCGTCGATGACGTTAGAAATTATTCGAACGAATCTGCGCCGATCGCGTCGTTAAATCGACGACGTCAGCGCGACGACGCTTCGACACGCCATTCTTTTAAAGAGCACGCGGGTCGGCGACGTACACATAACACTAAATTGATGCTTCGTAAAAGAGGGTATCGGCTCTTTATAGCCATAGGTATTGGTAATATAAATATTATAAGTTATGTAGATAAACGGAAATATAATTGCACAATCAATAATATTTTATATGTACCAAAATTACGAAAAAATCTATTAAGTGTCAAAAAAGAAAAAATTATTATTTCAAGAGATGTAAAATTTAATGAAAATTAATTTGCTTTTAAAGATAAAAGTGTAGATCAGACAAATAATGAAAATGGACAAATAATTTGCGTCGCGTTAGAAATTCAAATAAACGTAATACAAATACTCCAACAGCATCACAAAATATTACTGCTATTGGAGAACATAACCATCCAGAACAACTTAGTCAAAATTTGCGTGTAATTTTAAATAGATTGCCGGTTAATAATGAATCACAACACGATCCCATCATTGAACAACAACCGCTTCAAAATTTGCGTATAATTTTAAATAGATTACCGGAAATACCACAACCGACAAACGTAACTAACGAACCACCGAGGAGGGCTCCGGTAATCACTCCTCAAAGATTAACGTGGCAACAACGAATGGCTCTAAACAACATAAATAGAAATGTAAAACCAACACGAACATACCGTGATGGTATTACAGTTTCCGCGGCGAAGATGGAAGAAATTTGTGCAAATCAGGTACATAACTTAGGCCCGATGGATATAACATGTCTCCATTGCGATGCGATGTTCTTCCCAATAGAACGTCATGCCGTCAAACAAGTAAGATCTTGGGCATGTTGTAAGGGCAGTAAAATCGTGTTACCACTTTTACGTCCGATACCTGCAGAATTGATTGAATTATTCACCGTAGAAGGAGAATGGTCCAATCAATTTAGGGATAAAATTCGGTTCATCAATGGTTTGCTAGCGATGACCTCCTTTAAAACGTCCGTTCTGGAAAATGCTGACAACCGAACTGGCCGTTGTTTTGCTATCAGCGGTCAAATTTTTCATTACACTAATCCTTTACCTAACACTCAAGATTTAACCGCTTCTAGATTTCTTTATAAGTTTATTTAAATTATTTCAAACAGAATAATTTCAAATTTCTTAAATTAGTCAATTAAAATTTTTAGGTACTTTTTATGCTCCTTCACCAATATATTTTAAAACTTAATATATTACTTACATTACATATACTTTCCAATACAATTCCTTAAATATATATTTCTATATTTCTAAAAAAAAATTCCAGGGGCATAAACATTTCTATAAACATATTACCCTTAAATAATTTAAACAAATCTGTTTCCATTTTTTTTAATAAACTTGAAACCATTAACATCTAAATTTTGTCTAACACCATATATTAATCTATAAAAATAATATCAATTATTATTCTATTTATTGAATTTATAATTATTTAATGAATATACAAAATCAATAAATAATTTTTTTTCAGAATGACGAAAACAAAGGTTAACGACAAAAATTCCTCCTTGAATAATAATTCGTCATCTACATCTTCTTCTATAATTATTAATAAAAGAATTACTCGTAGTTCAATTAAAAATAACAAAGAATTAAAAGTTCATCTAAATAGGCTTCCAATCAATCTCAATCAAACTCAATTTCAATCTCAATCTTCTTCTAATATTTCTAAAGAACTACGAGTAATATTAGAACCTATTAATTTTAATCTTCTTTATTTAACTCTTTTGCACGTTAACTTTACACGTTTAGAGGATACACCCAATGTAAGTCAATTAACACCAGTTAGAACTCGAAATTGGTCAAATAATTTGCGTCGCGTTAAATATAGAACTAAAAATATTTCATTTAGTCAACAACAATCACAACAAAATCCACCTCTTCAAAATTTGCGTGTAATTTTAAATAGATTGCCGGATATTAATCAACAAACCCAACATGAATCCATCATTGAACAACAACCGCTTCAAAATTTGCGTATAATTTTAAATAGATTACCGAAAATAACACCGAGGAGGACTGCAGCCATTGTTAAGCGTAGGACATATATCGAAGGACAGATCGACAGAACACTAATCGATAAAATCGAACGTGTTCTTCGACGCGTTAATCGGTATATTAACGCCTACAAAACCATGACCGAAGTTATTCGCGAAATACGAACGAAATCGCGAACATCAGTTAGAGGGGATATACTAAATGATGTTGTTTTGACGTTTTGCGATAATATCAACGAAAAACGCCGAACACATCATTTACCAAAGAGTCGTTCCGATATTGCGGCTCTTTTTATCGGCGAAGACCCTCCATTTGACGTCGATTTAAAAATATATCCCCGAATGAGCAATATAACATCCGCCCAGCCACTCAGAACACCAATATCTATCAATTCCGTTCAGACAGAACTTGACGAAGAAACTTTAGAGGAACTCTTTCAGTCGCAATCGCAAACAAGACCACCACGAACCATTCAACACCACCACCAGTTAAAAAATTTAAATAAAATAGCAGATCCGATTTTCGAAAGAAAACTAAAAGAGTTCCTTCAAAATTTCACAGACCATCAACTTTACGGACGCGTACTAAACTACCACCTCATCGTTGAATTTCAAAAAAGGGGACTTTCACACTCCCATATCGTCTTTACATTCGTTCAAGACGATAAAATACACCACGAACGCGATGTTGACGCTTTAATATCGGCATGCATCAACTTCATTATAAGTGTCAATCAACGGTCCAAATACCATCGACCAAACAATAGCCGTATTGTCTTACTTGCGAACGAAACATTGCCGATAGACAACCGTCACGTCGTCCCCTACAACTCTTACGCGCTCGCAAAATATAACTGTCATATAAATTTCGAAGTTGTAGGAGCTGCGGCCATCATCAAATACTTGCATAAGCATTTGATAAAAGGATGGGATCGTGTATATATTGATGTTAACGACAAAAATAATCGCGTTGACGAAATTCATCGTTATGTTGAGTGTCGGTACGTTAGTTCAACAAAAGCAGCCTGAAAATTGTTAGAATTTGGCATTTTCAAAAGATCGCACTCTGTCATTCTTCTCCCCGTACATTTACCAGGCTACAGAGATATTCTGCATGACAACGATCAGGATAATTTAACTGCTGAAAAATTAAATGTTTTATTAAATAAAAAATCAAAATTAGAAGGTTTTTTCGAACTAAATAGAAACGATCCAGATGCTAGGCGACATTTTTACGTGGATATAAACGAATTTTATTGCTGGAATGTAAAAAACGCTAGATGGACCCGT